TTATTTTAAATTGCAATAATATTTCACAATATTACAGTTTTTTTTTTGTATTTCTGATCAAATAAATGCAGCCATGATGAGCGGAAGAGACTTCTTTAAAAAACATGAAATATCTTACTGATCCCAAACTTTCGAACGGCAGTGTATGTCTTGTTTTTTTACTTATGTCAATAACTTATTATAAATAGCTACAGCTTCTGTTCGCGAGTATTTCGTGCAGATCAGACTTTTACATTCAGATTATTTCTTGAGCACAAATCATTGTATTTGAAAGATTTCTGAAGGATCATTTGTCATTGAAGACTGGAGTAATTGCTACTGAAAATTCAGCTTTGAACTCACAGGAATAAATTACAGTTTCAAATATATTAAAACAGAAAAGCGCTATTTTTAATTGTAATAGTATTTCACAATGTTTCTGTTTTTACAGAATTTTTGAACAAATAACATGCCCTAAAAACCCACCCATAATTTGCACCCTAACCTGTCTTTAATATTTGTATTAATTATCATTGAGTGCTCATAATGTTGTGACAACTCTCGTCATTTTTATTTTTTTTTGCTACTTTTTCAGACCATATTCAGTTAAACGGCCACTGAATCCTTTGGCATCTAACAGTGGTAAGCATTAATTAATGTTTTGTTTTATGTTTTCAAGTCTAACATTTGTCAGCTTTTTAGCACATTGATTTTATATGCAGTAGACCCATGTCATGGACCATATCGTGATGCTTATGATGGGTAATCCTCGTAATCGTCTTTCTCTTTCTTTCCCTCCACTTTAGGAGATGATGGTAAGGTTACACACTTCAAATCCATTTAACCAGTGATTTGATCAGCTAGAAATTGACAAGTCTGTTTCTAATTAAAGGGCAGGGGTTCTACTGCTGGCTGGAGGGTAAGTTTCTGCTTATAGGTGGTGTTTTTTATATTTGCTACTGTATATTTTAATTGACATGTTCCTTTTGTTGTTCCCCCAGGCTTGTGTGTGGAGAAACGAGCGTTCTTCAGGCTGATCTCAGGACTGCATGCCAGTATAAACATACACCTGAGTGCCAGGTACCTACTAGATGGTGAGTCACGACTTTTGTGTTTTTCATTGAAGGTTAAAATTGTAAAGTTTAAAAAGTATTTCTGTAATTTCTGGGACTATTTAAACTTGAGTGTTTAATTGTCTGATTTGATTTGATTGGTCAGAAAACTGGTTCGAAATGAAGTGGAGTCACAATGTCTCCGAGTTCCAGCTTAGGTTTGACAAGGAGCTGACAGAAGGGGAGGGGCCAAAGAGGCTCCGCAACCTCTACTTCCTGTACCTTATTGAGCTGCGTGCTCTGGCAAAAATACTCCCTTATTTTGAACGTCCCGCCTTCCATTTGTACACTGGCCAACCCACAGAAGATAACGAGAAAAAGAAATTGCTTCTAGAGCTCCTCCATATGGCCAAGTAAGAACATTGCAATGTTTTTTTAAGTGATTGAGTTATTAAAGGAACACTCCACTATTTTTGAAAATAGGCTCATTTTCCAACTCGCCTAGAGTTAAACAGTTGAGCTTTACCGTTTTCGAATCCATTCAGCCGATCTCCGGGTCTGGCGGTAGCACTTTTAGCTGTAGCTTAGCATAGATCATTGAATCTGATTAGACCGTTAGCATCTCGCTCAAAAATGACCAAAGAGTTTCGATAATTTTCCTATTTAAAACTTGATTCTTCTGCAGTTACATCGTGTAGTAAGACCGACGGAAAATGAAAAGTTGCGATTTTTCTAGGCCGATATGGCTAGGAACTATACTCCCATTCCGGCGTAATAATCAAGGAACTTACCATGTACCATGGGTACTGCAGGCGCAATGATATTACGCTGCACCTGAAAATAGGCTTACTTCTGTCAACATAACCAACGTGACCACCTTCTTGCACAGGGAGCGTGCTGGGGACTATTTTCAGGCGCTGCGTAATATCATTGCGCTTGCTGCACCCATGGTACGGCAGCAAAGTTCCTTGATTATTACGCTGGAATGAGAGTATAGTTCCTAGCCATATTGGCTTAGAAAATCGCAACTTTTCATTTTCCGACGGTCTTACTACACGATGTAACTACAGAAGAATCAAGTTTTAAATAGGAAAAATATCGAAACTCTTTGGTCATTTTTGAGCGAGATGCTAACGGTCTAATCGGATTCAATGATCTATGCTAAGCTACAGCTAAAAGTGCTACCGCCAGACCCGGAGATCGGCTGAATGGATTCGAAAACGGTAAAACTCAACTGTTTAACTCTAGGGGAGTTGGAAAATGAGCCTATTTTCAAAAATAGTGGAGTTTTAATATTTTTATTTAGCTAATATATAAAAAAAATATCACTGTTTCCAAAATATTATAATAATATACTAATTCCAAAAAAACTGTTGATAATAATAAGAAATGTTTCTGGAGCACCCAAACAACGTATTAGAATGATTTCTTAAGGATCATGTGACACTGAAGAGAAGAGTGAAAATTCAGCTTTATCATCACAGGAATACATTTTTAAATATAGTAAAATAGAAAATGGTTATTTAAAATTTTAATAATATTACATAATATAGTGTTTTTATACATATATGTTCAACATTTTTGAAGTAATATAACATTCTTTATTTGCAGATTGTTTCCATTGCATTTTGATGAGACCGCTCTATTTGCTGGAAATAAGAAGGAAGCCATGAAACTGAAAGTCAGTGGCTCCTTTCCATGTTTGCTATATTAACAATGTTGCAGAAATATGTTTTTAAAGAAGTAATAAATCAGTTGCATCTTCCCTGACCTTAGGAAGACTTCAAGCTGACCTTTAAGAACATCTCGCGCATCATGGACTGTGTTGAATGCTTTAAATGCAGACTTTGGGGCAAATTGCAGGTAAAGGGTAAAGATCATGACAGGTAACCAGATGATGTTATTTGTGTTGATATTTGACGTTCAGTGAATGTCTCTCATAGACCCAAGGCCTGGGAACCGCGCTGAAAATCCTGTTCTCAGAAAGGCAGATAGAGGCAATGCCCAACGCAAGCAACACCAATCCATCATTTCAGCTCAGCCGGCAGGAAATTGTGTCTTTGTTCAATGCTTTCGGAAGGTATGTCAATATCTATTTTTGTCTAGATATATTTAGTTGACATGTCTTTTTCATGCGTCTTGTTTTGTTTCAGGATCTCCACAAGTGTCAGAGAGCTGGACAACTTTCGGTCGCTGTTGTCAAATCTCAAACAGTGACTGTAAAAATCCTTCATTCAGCCACAGTCAAGAATTTGACATACATAAAACGGACTTGTTTTGGGTTAAATAACTGTTTTCAGACGTTTTATACCAGTTGTTTCTAAATACAGTTTAACAGCACTGCAGTTTTATCCCTTAAGAATTGAGCACTTTAGTCTCAACTGTATTGTTTCACAAATAACTGCATAGGTGACCAAAAATAATGTAGTTTATTGGGAACTAATTGAAAAAACATTTACAAAATTTTATAAATTTTTTTACAAGAGGGACATTGCCATTTCTTTATAGGTGTAATATATTTAAATGTTTTTGGAAATTACCATTTTGAAAAATTTATGGTAAGGTGTTATTTTTGAATATATGACTTGGCACCTAGATTTTTTTTGAGCATGTTGACTGTATTTAAAAAAAGAACATTGTACTTTTTCATCAAAAATATGTGACCCTGGACCACAAAACCAGTCTCAAGTCGCTGAGTCATATATTTGTAGCAATAGCCAAAAATACATTGTATGGTTCAAAATTATATTTTTCAATAATCATTAGGATATTAAGTCAAGATCATGTTCCATTAAGATATTTAGTAAATTTCCTACTATATATACAGTGGTGTGAAAAAGTGTTGGCCCCCTTCCTGATTTTTCACTTAATAATAAAAACCTTAATTTAAAAACTGAATGTTGTGTTCACTTGTGTTATCTTTTACTAATATTTAAATTTGTTTGATGATCTGAAACATTAAAGTGTGACAAACATGCAAAGAAATCAGGAAGGGGGCCAACACTTTTTCACACCACTGTATATTAAAACTTAACTTTTGATTAGTAATATGCATTGCTAAGAACTTCAGTTGGACAACTTTAAAGGTGATTTTCTCAATATTTAGATTTTTTTGCTCAAGATTCCAGATTTTCAAATAGTTGTATCTCGGCCAAATGTTGTCTTATCCCAACAAACCATACATCAATGGAAAGCTTATTTATTCAGCTTTCATATGTATGAATCCCAATTTCGAAAAATTGACCCTTATGACTGGTTTTGTGGTCCAGGGCCACATGTTTTATTTTGGATAATATTGTTCTTTATTAGTTTTTGTATTGTGTTGCACATGTGTTTAGCTTTTATTTTGTGATCAATGTTAAAATGTGTTGGGGAGTTTTATAGATGTCATCTTTTTTACATTCCTTTATATGTTTGCATTTATTCATTGAACACTTTAGTGCACTCAATGTATACATTTAATCAGTAAATGTGTTCCCATGATATTGTTAGTTCCACAACCTACCAGTTTAGCTGCAGCATGTCACACAACTGCCAAAAGTTTGACATAACCCGAATTTAGCGATTATATTAATTAATAGCATGTATTACTAACAAAGTGCTGAATCAAACGTTGAATATACAGCTGATGATCTCAGAGGCAGAATCAAGATTCACAGGCCGTTCGGTCCTAATTAAAGCTGCTCCATGAGACTCCGTGAGATCGAACCACTATAAATTCAATTGTGGCCAGCAGTTCTGCCAAGAAACGAAAACACGGCTAGATCTGTTAGACAGTTATCAAGAGAAAAGAACACTGGTATTTTGAAGGAAAAAAGTGAATCTACTGAAACACTGGAGTTGAAAAAAGTTTCTATTTTTACTTCTATTGCTATCTGAAATAAACTAAATTAATTTTCTTATAATAAATCACGCCAAATGACCTAGACCCTGGTCAAAACAAAACTTGTTTTTAAAACAGTGCAATAAAACTTTATTTTTAGTGGTAGTGCTTGTGTACATCTTTAATTAACTATGAACATGGGTAAACGAGTTACATTCATTGGCCTCGAACAAAAAAACAAAGGCTTCACTTGCTCTTTTGGAAGTTGATATGACAAATTTCACAGTAACATTTTTCAGACTCGCATTTATAAATTAATAAAGATAAAAAATAAAAAGAAACCAACCAACTCACACACAGCCCCATCTTGTCTGCAGTTTGTCAGGAAATGAACTCAATCGGCATTCGATCAAACGCATAACATTTCCATCACTTAATGCTCAAGTTTTCTTATAACTGAAAAGCTTTGCTACACATTAGCTGGCAGAAAGCAAGGAAATAAGACACGAGGCCGATTTAAAGTCCAAATCAATTAAAACCATCCACTTTTTTCATGCAGCATACACAAAACCCTGTAAGACGCAATTTAAAACACAGTTTAAAAATAAATCCAATAATAGAACAGGTGCATATGGAGTTTCAGCCTTACAGCTGCCTATTCATCATATTTACACCACAACTGATGATTGCTTCAGCCAAATGATTGCTGATATCTTATACATAGCTCATAACATATGGAGAAGCAAATTAGAGCAAAATAACATTTTTTTTTACAATTACTTTTTTTTAGGGAAATGGAAAGGGCCGTATAATTTAAGCTGGATATGCTGATCAATTGCCGACCAATCACGCTCCTGAAATACAATTATACAGGAATAATGATATAAAGCTCCATGAAACATGTTCAACCCAAACATGAATTTTGTGCAACATGTTTTCGGCTAGGAAAATCATAGATGGCACCATTTCAGGCATACCCTTGGAGAATGATATTCTAGTTTTCGACTACTGATATATGCAAGTAAATTCCCCCACAAGCCCTCAATGTCCTTCAAAAGCCAAGTACCAAAATATCAGAGGATGGAAGTAGAGTTAGTCTTCCTAGTCGCACATTTGAATATGCTAGATCTCAGTCGTTGGTTCTGGGATTGTAGGAACTGGGTGTCTTTGGGAAGCGTAAAAATGTACTACCTTGGATTTAAGCACAGGTTCTTTGGCAATGTAATAAAAACGTTAAAGGAATTCAAGAAAGAGTCACATGTGAATGTCAGTGCACGACGGTCAGTGCTTTTTCACTTGGTCGTCTCGGATGCACAAGGAGGTCGTGCTCTTTCTCCAAAACGATGGAATATAAAAGGCGTACTCTCCAAAAACAGGAAAATCTCGCCACCACCAACACCACATTCTGGCCTACAACTATTCCAATTGATCCAAATATAACATACAGGCCCACAATAAGTGCAAAAAGCACATCCCAACTCACAGAGGGGAGTCCATGTGCTGAAGGCTCTTAGGAGCTCATTGCGCCAATTTTGGGTGATGGGATGGATGGTTTTCAGAAATGAGAACATTGGAAAAGCTGGTCCATTTGGTCCAAACAAACCCCCCCCCCCCCCCCCCCCCCCCCCCCCCCCCCCCTTCCCTTCTTCTTCTTCTTTCCCCCCCCCCCCCCACCTTCGTATGGTCCCTTTCATTTCCTGCCGTTTCAATGTGGGCAGATAAACTGACTGAGGGGGAAGATGACCATAAAGCATTGCTCGATGTCCTGGCTGAGCCAAACCTCAGACTAGATTAATCCACATGAAGGATGTGCATTAGTTCTGAGGGGTGGCGTAATGTGTCTGGGAGGTTGAGTAGTAGTTCTGGGGGGTGGAATAGTAATTGTGGTGTTGGTTGGTCTGAATGTTGCCGTTGGCAAAGAGAAGAGGGGCGGTTGATGTTTGGGGGCCGTTCAGCAGGTGAGGGATTGCTGTTAGGCTGCCGTTCCTCTGGATCGAGCCGTACCAACCTGGGCCCGTCTGTGGAGTGGACGACAGGATACTGCTGGAAAACAGAACCTTAAGCCTTAGAGATATAATTTAACTGATGTATCAATCATGTTATTTAAAGGGATAGTTCACAAAAAACATCTCTGTATTTATCTTATATTTGTCCTGTAAGTAAATCCTTTTTAAATGAACTATTCCTTTACAAACTTCTAATATCTTTAACTATAAGTAAATATAACATTCCTATATAAAAGTCTGTGGTTAAACACTCCTGTTTTTAAAAATGTGAGCACACACACCTGCATCTTTCTCCTCGGGAAGTTGTATTTCTAGACAGATCATCATCACTATCATAGCGGCGTGGGTTGTCAAAGAAATATGCTCTGGAGCTAAAGCTGTGACTGTTGATCATGCCACCCGGTGTCTGTGGAAAAAACGTATACAAAATATAAATAAGAACATATGACTGGTCCAACACAGACAGGCAAATACGTGACTAACACAGCAGCATGGGGTGTTGTTTTCAGTGGGGCAGACGTCGGAGTAATTAATTCTATCTGACAGGAAAACAACCTGATAACCGGCTCTCATCATTGAGTAAGTGTCCAGCTGTGATATTGACGGACAGATTTAGAGGAGTGAGACAGGATTAGACTTTCACCAGGTTCTGATTGGGCCGCTGCACTCTGAAGAACAACACCACCAGACTGGTGGGCAGCAACTCCCAGAAGAACAGGATGATCCCAAAGACCACATAGGCTTCCACATTGATCTTCTCTGCATCCGCCTGGAGACACAAACACAATGCAAGACTAATTTAACTTTGAGAGCGTTCCACTTCTGAGCATATTGATGTATCGGTTCACTGTAAAGGCCAATAGACCTTAGTCAGAGTAGACGGCAGAGCTGTTATTGTTATCTAAACCTAAAATAATCTAAATGAAATATTAGATGAAAAACGTACAAAAAAAATAGAAATACTGCCATGGCAACTTATTGAAATAACAGAAGTTTAAGTACTAAAAATAAAAAAATTAAACTGAAATAAATATAAATGGGAGTATAAAAGAAGATTCTAAATATTAATAAATAAATGCTAATGTATAAATAATACAAAAATAACACTGTAGACACCACATTTATTTGATGGGAAATATAAAAATAAAGCTAATTCAAAATATTAAGAAATACTAATATATAAATACTACAAAAATATCACTGTAGACACTACATTTATTTGATGGGAATGAAAAACAACGCAGCAAAACCCCCAAAACAAGCACTATACTTTCACACGTAATTTGTCAAGTCACATAACACATATTGTCACATCTAATTTGTGCAACACAAATGACACATCAAAATGGCGCGATTTATTGACGAGAGGTGTGCTAAACATTTTATGCAATCTGACCTATATTACCTTTTTTTTCATACAAAAAAACAATGTGTTATCGTGATATATTGTTTTACAATCTGTACAATCTGAACTGAAAAAATGATAACATTTAGGAACACAACATGCACCAAACATGCTTGCTAAACTTATGAGAAGTGTTTAAAAACTGGCTGTTGTCAACAGAAGAGAAGATTTAAGGGCTCCCTGCAGTTCTCCAGCTAAATAAAGGTCAATGGTTAAAATTAAGAGTCATAAATGTTAGTATTGCAATTTTACAGTTGTACTTCAAAATACATTATTATTATCAGTAAACCTGGAGCTTTAAAAAAAATGCAATCACAATTTTGATCATGGAAAAAAATAAAAATAAAAAATGTAAACCAGTTTTTCATCAAATCATGCAGCCACAGAAGAGAGTACCCCTAATAATTATCCATACTATAGAACCATTGAATAGCACAACAAAACAAAGCCTACAACAAACAAAAGCACAAAACATCATCTAAATGAATAGCCACAAAAATGCAGACAATGCAGGATAAGAAAGGATGTAACCAATCCCATAATTAAATGCATCATCAAAACAGCGAGAAACAAATCCTCACAACAGCTTTACATGAGACAAAGTAGCTTTATGAAGAATAAGCAAGCAGACAGCCACCCAAACATATGCAGCTGAGTCAGAGAAGGGGGCAGGCCGATCAGGGGAACCTTGGCTTTGTCGGCCCGTCTCAGAGGTGAACCCAAACTAGGTCACCACCAGCCATCCTTTCTGCACAGCAGCCTTGCCCGGGCTATTTATAGCAAAACAAAGACCTTTCCCCCACAAAGCCCATATCTGTCTAAATCCCCTCAAATGGATTGTTTCTGGGGAGCACTGCGCAAAGCAGCGTAATCCATATTGAATTACTGTATTTTGAATGAATAAATGAAGCTGTTAACATCTCTTTTTATTAAGCATTTGTAAATATGCTGCAAAAGGCATAATCTCTAATTCATCACACAGACTGTATTATACTCTTCAAATCCACCACACACACAACAGACACAGCTCTTGAAGGACACAGTACTAAATCAGGGCAGACAAAAATGAGCAACTATGCAAATGAGAAGAATAAATACATAATGAGTTCATACATCTCACACAAAGGTGAAAACAACTTTGATTATTAACTCAAACAGCTGTGCCACACTTACAGACTTGTTTATCTGGGACAGTGGAAGTTCAGTGAAGGTTTACCAGCTTTCTACTGTACATACACTACCGTTCAAAAGTTTGCCTCAGTAAGATTTTTTAAATGTTTTTGAAGTCTCTTATGCTCACAAAGGCTGCATTTATTTAGTTAAAAATACAGTAAAATCAGTCATACTGTGAAATATTATTACAATTTAAAATAGCTTTTTACTATTTTAATATAATTTAAAATGTAACTTAGTCCCGTGATGGCAAAGCTACATTTTCCACAGCCATTACTCCAGTCTTCATTGTGTCAATCCATGCCGCATCCAGTGTAGACAGAATCGCAGATTATAATGGGTTCTGTTGTCTATGGTTGCGTTGCGCCGATCATGTCCGGTGTAAACACAGGGTAAAATTAGGAAAGAGCTCCAGATCGCGTCAGTGAAACACTGTTTGTTTGCTTGCTTTACTTTAATACGGATTCATTTTTAAACAAGACAATATGATGCAGGCTTTTCAGAGACTGAAAGTAAAAGATGATGCAGTGCTGAGTCTGACTATTTTGGATCTAACAGTAATGTCGCAACACATAAGTGTGAGTAAATGTGTTTTTACCACTATTGCATTGTCTGTTCCAGACCTTTTAATATATACCGAGTATTTACACGTTTTTTTAACCCAAATGACTCATGTTGTTTTCAGAGCACATCATAGCAGCGTCCATCTGCTATTTTAATATGCGAAACTGTTAGCCAATCACAGCAGTGGGCGTTTACTTGCGAGTCTTGAATGCGCCCCACCGATAAAAACAGACTGTTCTGCAGAGAGGCTCAAAAACAGGATAGAAAATAGCCTATTACATCTAAATTATGATGGGTTTTTTATGTTAAATCACACTAACATTATAAATGAACCTCAGAGAACATTATATTCATAACTCCTTTAATATTTACTACTTACTACCTAATATTTTTGTGAAAACCATTATATATATATATATATATATATATATATATATATATATATATATATATATATATATATATAGATAGATAGATAGATAGATAGATAGATAGATAGATAGATAGATAGATAGATAGATAGATAGATAGATAGATAGATAGATATTTTTCAGGATTCTTTGATAAAAAGAAAGTTGAAAAGAACAGATCATTTGTAACTTTATAAATCTTTGCAAGTCTTTACAGTCTTTTGATTAATTTAAAGTATCCTTGCTGAATAAAAGTATTAATCATTTAAACAAAAATACTGAATCATACTTATAATTAACAAATAACAATATATAGTTTTGTTGAACTACCTGGTCAGATACATTGTACCAGCCATAATTAAACGGGCTGGGTCGATCTTCAGGAGAAAGAGCCACCACAACCAGGTTATAACAGGCTCTGGAAGTGTACAGGAAGATAACTGCCGCCCCAATGGCCGTGGCCTGGCATACTGATGTCCCCTGGATCACAATCACAAAGATCACCACATTTAGACAGAAGAGCAAGTACCTTTTCAACACCACTCAAAACAATTAGTTATGATTGCACTGTCTGAAACCGCTGAAAATAATACTGAAAATGTCGTGTTCTGAATCCAAATATCCAAATCCAACCGCATCCCTGTCCACTTACCTTTGACTCCAGGTAGACGTTGGCAGAAGACATTTTAGCGATCTTGAAGATGCAGATGGCAAGTGAGATCGCACAGAGAACAAAGAGGCTGTCATTAACCAGAACTCGTGCCAGAACGGCATCCTTCACCTGACTCTCACCGGCATCACCCTGAACCAGCATGGCACACGTCACATTCACCACCAGGAAAAAAACACTGGCCAGCAGAAATCCTAGACGCAGGGGCACCCTATCGAGAGTAGAGAGAAAATTTATTTTAGAGAAGAATAAATAAATAAATGAAATGAATGTGTCATGGGTGAATTATGTGAACAACTTAAACATCTATATTTTATAATATAAAATATAATACAAATTTTTACCCTCTTCTGTTGAAGAAAATCAAGCTATGTCCCATAATACTTCATGCTCAATATATCATATTGAATAATAGATGAAAGCTCAAAGACAATGAACTGATGAGTGCAGTCAACCAGTTGCTTAGCTCAGTCTGGGCAATGTGTCAATCCTCTACTCTGCCCCCTTCCCCCTCCATTCCACCACATGCCCTCCTCCCACTCATCCTGACTCAGACGGGGCTGGGTGGGATTTGATCTCCAAGCTTTTCACTCGGCATCAGACTCTAATAACTCTAATAAGCCCCGTATTTGTACAGACTGATGCTCCAAATGGAAAAACTAACAAGTCTGTAATAAGTTGGCTCAAACTTCTTTAGTTTTTTGATATTTCAACCAAAAGAAAAATTCTCCTAAATTCACCCAAAAATTCTCACTCTAATGTTGTTCCAAAGCTGTATGATTTCTGTTTTTGTGTGGAGCATGAATAAATGAGTACTAGGGCAATCAAACTCCAAAATAAAAAAACACACAAAATAGTGACATAAAAGCACCACAAAAAAAAAAAAAGTAAAGTAGTTCATAAGACTTGTTCCAAATCTTCTGAGGCCATATGATACCTAGTCAAACACAGTGCAATGTGTCTTGATGTACCATATTTGAACATGAAAAATTGAGATTTGAGTGTTACAAGCGAGGGAAGAAGTGACTCATATTTCGGCCTTTTCCTATACTGCTTCCATGGTGCTTTATTGGTATTTTGAAGCTTGACAGGCTCAGTATTACTTCACTGTATGGAAAAGATCAGCATTAACAGTCTGCTAAAAAAAATCATACAGGTTTTGAACAACATGTTGACATGTTAAACAAGTGTGAGTAAATTAAATTATTTAAATTTTTAGGTGAACTATCTCTTTAAATAAATGTAGTGTATAGACAGCTAAGTTTCATGGCTACAGTTTGCCTAGTCTGCAAGAACCAAGAAAAAAAAAAAGTGAAAGATTTCAGGGGTGACTACAGTTTAGAGCACTTAAAATATAATATGTAATAAATTGTTCATACTGGCTCCCTCTAAGCAACCACTTAATTCATTAACAGCACTCACAACTAGGAAAGAAAATCTCTTACTTGTACTTGTTGAGCTCCGGGGAATACTTTGCTTTGGCTTTGAAAATCACCTGTGGGAGAGGACATAGAAAGGTTTTTATTACTTACAAACATGACCGGGACAAACACTAGCTTAGATATTTGGTTATTTGAGCAGAGGCATTATCAGTACAGAAAAAAAAGTTGTTTTCACCAGGAAACGTCTGCTATCTGTACTTCAAGCCTGCTCACAGGCCAAGTGATGACTAGCCTGTGCTAACGCAAAGATAAGGACAACCAGGGACAAGGCCATATCTCTGAGTTTGTTTAAACAGAAACATCTCCTGGTTAAACAAATACCCCAAGAGCTCAATAACCAGTGAAAGTTATTGGTTATGAGGTCTTTGCAACTCTAGCCCTAAGGTCAACTCAAAGCAAGCACAACTACAGAGGCTTGCACAACCGTCATTGATAAGTGTTCATGGACTCTTTTCACTCTCACATGGGCCTCATGTAGTTCACACAAAGTTCATAACATCCATTAGCAGGTGAAGTACACTCTAGCATATGAACTACCATTCAAAAGATACCTTTTTTAAAGTAATACTTTTATTCAGAAAAGATGCATTAAATTGATTGAAAGTGACAATTCAGTTTTGCCATCATAGGAATAAATGACATTTTTAAAATATACTAAACTAACTAGTAAACAGATATTTTAAACTGCAATAATATTTCCCAATGTTTCTCTTTTTACTGTATTTTTGATCAAACAAATGCAGCCTTGGTAGCATAAGAGACTTCTTTCAAAAACATTAAAAAAATTGTACCAACCTCAAATTTTTAATTGGTAGTATATGAACACATGCCTAACCGCAAACTTCAAAGTAATGATACTAAGCCACCAAGGGCCTTCTTTAGGCTCAGGCATATTAAAATCTGTACAATATAAACCACAGCAGTAATCGGCAACTAAAACAGGAACAGGAACACACCTCACCTGTAGCTTTCTGCACCGGCTTACTGAAAAGTTTATAGGGTCTGAGTTTCACATGAAAGTTGGAAAATTAAATTAGACGAAAAATTATCCATAATACAGTATTAAAATCCCTACAGTGATGATAAAAAAACTCTGAAGAACATTTAGAGAGTCAAAATGTAATATTTACATCATTCTGCAAAGTCTATCCCTACTGTTTTTTCCGTCATGACAAATCCTTCACACTAATCATTTAAACATCCTCATGGTTATGACAGGATTAGCATATGGACATCCATATTTAAATTCAATATAGATTTCTTTTCACAGTTTTCAGCAACTTGCTAATTCATTGCCAAATGGAAATATGCTGGTAGAGAATTTAGCCAATCACAACAGAGGTCATTTACATACACTACAGTTTTTACCATCATTTTTAAATGTTTTTTGAAAAATAAAAAAAAAGTCTCCTACGCTCACCGATGCTGCTACTGTTTGATCAAAATAAGAGAGAAATATTATCATTTTAAAAAGCAATTTATTCCTGTGATGGTAAAGTTGAATTTTCAATGTTGAAAAAGTTGTACTGCTTAATATTTTAATGGAAATCATAATTTTGTTCAGGATTTTTTCATGTTGGATAGTGGCTTTACTGTCACTTTTGTTGAAGTTATTGCATCCTTGCTGAATAAAAGTATTAATTCCTTAAAAAAGGAGCCATAAGAGTCTCTGATATTCTGGTATCTAGCCATATATACGGCCAATTTAATGTAAATCTAAATGTTTTTTATGATTTATTTATTTACTGAAACAAATGAAGATAAGTTGGGCAAAAACACAAAAAAGAAAAGAAAAAAAAAAGTCATTTTGATCACTGCATTGTGTCCTTGCTGAATAAAAGTATTAATTCCTTTTTCTTTTTTTTTCTTTTTTTTTAATCTTACAGTAATGCAAGTCATTAGCAAAACAGCCTGTTTAGTTTTAAGGAATAAAGCTGGTGGAAATGGTCAAAAGATATAAGGTGAACCATTCATTTAACATTATTACTGGCCTTCTGAGAAGAAAAAACAAATGCTTAAAGTGCAAAACACAGCTTATTTATGGAAACCACGCAGAGATAAAAAGGTGCATTATTCGATACTTTTGTTGTGTTTTGTTGTGAATCGTGCTTGTACATGTATGTCATCCTCATGTGTCTTCCTGTCAGCAGACTCCACCGGGACACGGCACAGCATGATTCCGAGTTAAACAGAAGAAAGTCTCCAAAAATAAATACAGCAAACTGCACCTCACATTTGTCATCTCACGAGAGAGCGGCACACTCAAGGGACCCGTGTGGCCCCGAGCTATGTGCTTTCACCGAGAAAAGGCAGCATTAAAAGCTCCTCTCTATCTGCTCTCCGCTCCCCACCCCAAACCACACGGTCTTACAAGCAAAAACAAGGTCAGCACGCTCCACATTCAACACATGCAATGCCTGCTGGCAGATTAGATATTGCAAGTTTTTATTTGTCACAAAGTGGAGAAAGGTACAGGTCAGATATGAAAAAAAGCTGACTAAAAACTAGATTTTTACATTCTCTGAAAAAATCAGTGCAAAAATCATGAAAAATGGCAGAATGCTAGGGTGTTATAAGCAGTTATTAATGATATTCTGGACATGTGTAAGGCCAATTTTCAATGTAAAGATATTTCTCAATTATTAATTTGTTTGTTTAAAAAGTGAAAATAAGTTTGGGAAAAAAATGGAAAAAAAGTTTGATGGAATTAAAAAGAAAAAAGCAAACAAGAAAGTGAGAGAGCACAAATAAGGATAGGCCTATATTCTGGGCAATGACAGACATGTTTTGGTTGGGATACATTATTATAAGCACTCAGCTCACACACACAATCCAGCTACTTTCAGCCAATCACAGAAAACAGGCAGCAGTCTTTTCAGAGGGGTGATATATAATAGTGTTGGGCGATATGCTCCATAGTCATATGGTCCTATCGTCAGCCTGTGAGATCACCAATACACAATATTATCATGCTAATTTATTTAATTATTTACTTACTTAGTTTCATATCCTGAGAGTGAACCAACTCCAGGGTAAATGCTAAAAGCAGTGTAATGTTAGTGTAATCTATTATCTAAATATATAAAATATTTTGAATATAACTGAATTTGTATTTAACAATTTAAAAGAAACGTTTTAATTTTCTAATTATAATGATTACATTTCAGTTATTCAAATGGCAGCTAACATTACAGAAAATGAGCAAAGCACATCATCACTGACTTAAGTCTACCGCGAGTTTATGCAAAAAACACTCCCGTTATAATCAGTGAAGCGATCTCCACTGTATGATGAATACATCTCTTATACTTACATTGCATGTACATCTGCACTTTGTTGTTTATTATGAGAGAATTCGCGAGAGAGCAGAATTCAGAAGAAGAATTGAAGGTGCAAGCAGCATTGAAAGGGCCCTCGCACCCACCTCCACCCCATGGACTCAGGAAAACAGTGAATGGCAGGGCAGAATGCATTTAAAGTGGTAACTATAGGAGAAATATGTCAAAGTCATTTATATGTGCCAAACTTCCTGCTGCCAGCTGGTGGCGCTATGACTATTACTGAATATTGGCATGTAGATGCCTTCAGTCCAGGACTCTTATCAAACGTTTTAAGTTTGGTGCAGATTGAACATGGTATGTTTGAGTTAGTGTAAATCATGACATATCTTGTTGCCAACAAGTGGCGCTATGATAATAACTGAATATTGGTCTTTAGATGTCTTCAGGCCAGGCTTTTATTAAACAAGAAATTTAGGGCAGATTGGACATTGCATGTTTTAGTTAGTATAAAACATGACATTTCCTGTTGGCAACAGGTGGCGCTATAAATTATAACTGAATGTTGGCATGTAGATGTCTTTAGACCAGGATTCTTACCAAACATGTGAAGTTTGGGGCAGATCGGACATTGCATGTTTAAGTGAGTATAAAACAAGTAATTTCCTGTTGACAGCAGCTGGCGCTATGATTATAACGGAATATTGGCCTTTAGATGTCTTCAGGCCAGGACTCAGGACAAACATGTGAAATTTGGGGCAGATCAGACATTGTATGGCTGAGTTACAACAACTTCCTTTTCCATGGTGAAACATCGAAATTTATCAGGCTGCCAGAACACGTCCTTTAACGAAAACTCATGATCTTCGCAATTAAAATCGCAAAGGCCTTTATTATCATTAAATCTCTGGGAGGAGTATGCTACAGTGTAAAACATGTCACTTCCTGTTGCCAGCAGGTGACGCTATGACTATAAACGACTTACACTGACCAAATTTGGTGTTGATCTGATTAAATCTCTAGGAGTTCGTTAAAATACAACGCCTGAAAATGGCAAAAACGGCACAAAATTTGGCGAGAAAATTAAAAATAACTGACTTCCTGTTGGGATTCAGATTTTGCTCCAAGAGAATTCATTGTAGGTATTGGTGTGTTACATGTGTCTGCCGAATTTCATACATGTACGTGAAACGTAGCTTGAGGGGCACTTCGTTGAAAGTTTATAGGTGGCGCTATTGAGCCATTTTGCCACACCCACTTCTGAAACCTATATCAGAAGTAAATTTTCGCCACTTCTGGTGTGTGCAGAGTTTCACGAGTTTGAGCATGTTTAGGCCCTCAAAAATGTGATTCATTTTGGATAATAATAATAATAATAATAATAATAATAGTAATAATAACAACAATAATAATAAACAGAGCAATTCCAAGAGGGTCTACGGTGCTCGGGCCCTAATAATAATAATAATCCTCATCATCTTGCTATCGTCAAAGACATCGACCACAGGCGATATCTCTGACTATCGTTGATACATTATACTATTGTCTATCAGCACAACCCTAATATGTAAGCCCTTTCTGTGACCCACATGCAGACATTTGTCTCCGTTCCTTAAATGTATTTTTACCATGAGACATCCACATCACACTGAGTCATGCTTTTGAAAGTGCATAATGCTGCGGTTCGGTGTCATGAGACTTTGTAAGACTAAGCTTCTTCCTCTTTTACTGATGGTGTGAAATGATATCGCTATTCATGACGCTTGAAAATTCAT